CAGCGTTAGTAGATAGCTGAGATAATAAATATCTCCATTTTGATAACGTCATTCACCGTAGCGGTGATATCACATTTAAAATCGCTGGTAATAAGTAACTGTGTCAGATGATGAGTGTCAATCGTCAGAACTGTTGGTACTCACTTACAAAGAGTACCTGCTTCCATGAAAAAACAAATGTTCCCTCAGTGATTCTTACCTACTTCACTCAATGTTGAAATCAGAGACTTAACAACTAAGCTACTGACATCCTGCAGAACTGCATCGTGTTGACGGACCGGTGACTAGTATTTAGCCAACGCCGCTATCTAGTCTTCAGTTCTCAGAACTCATTAAATTCAATCAATAAAAGGAGTATCATCTTTATCCTGGTTGAAGATATTCCATGTACCTACGTCCGAATAGGAACAAAACCTAGGCCTAGTAGGCCTTCCTATCGTTTAACTTCGAAAACGTAATACCAGAATGTTGTACGATGAAGTTTTGTCTCACTTCACTGGGTCGCTACAGCACAAACGCCTAATTAGTAGGATTAGATCGGTTATAGACTAGTGATAAGTTTTGTACACTGAGACGACTTCATGATTATTCATTGATTTCCGATCAAATGAATATGAGTTGTGAAAAAGTTTTGATAAATACAGACAAATATGATCTGCACACCTAAACAATCAGAAGGAAATCTCTTAATGTGAACTGCTGAAAGAAAGGGTAGAGATTAAAAGTTCGGAATAAAGAAATAATTGGCTGAACTCAAAGTTATTTTATATCTATTCAATCAGGCCTTTATCTCAATATTCTCGAATTACCAAGGAATACAACTTAATGAGCAAAGGGAAGTCAAAACTGCCAACAGATAAAACACATGGCCACCTTACCAACAGTTTAAAGTATTTCCTGATAAAGGAAAGGAGTATTCTCAAAGAGTAGCTGAAAGTTGACAGGTGTTCGGTTCTTATGCCCTTTTAATTTTACCTACAGATTCACGTTCTCACACCACGACACATACATTGGAAAAAGAAGGACAGAGTGAAGAGATGCATCTTCATTTGCAGTAAACCATGTCGAACGTGAGGACAGACCATCGGATTCCAACTCAGTGACTCAATAGTAACGTGGTGGCCACGGATCCTGGGTTCGATTCCTAGTGGGATCATGGTTGTGCACTGCTGAGGAGTTCAATGCTGGGACGAAACGGCCGTCCAGTGCTCTCAAGTCTCCAGTGTCCCTCCAATTGACCTCAATTCATGATGAATATTAACCTGGAGTCAATTAATAAATCTTCACAAACCTCCAGACTGAATATTCCAAATAAAGTAAGAAATTTTTCTACAATGTCTTTTCTCCAATTTATCGGTATAGAAGGGGTAAAGTCGTCTATATTACGTTGTATTCTTTCACCAATTAAAAATGATGCATCATACTCTACAAATTGTGTACTTGTTTCACTAAAATTCCTTCAAGAAAACTAACTATATGAAATACAACTGGTAATTTTTCAAACGCGTTGGTTCTGTTAATACATGCCTAGATCTCAAACAAGAGATGGTCATAGTCTGCAGACAAGCATTGTTCATAAAGGGTGGTCCTTAGAAGTGAGATGAAAACCTGAATATCATAGGATTTAGCCCAGTCAGCTATCGATTACCCCACCATAGCTCTAATTGATGCGTAAGCGTTATTTCATCATAACCACACTATGCTTCAAGCCAAGACTTCTCGTCCCAATCAACATTGAAATGAATAAGTCAGAGGAGAAATATCGTGTTGATGAGACTATCTGAAATAGCTGTGGTACTGTAGACTGTTAGAGTTAGTATAAGATGGTTGGCAGCTAAGCTTCGACAGTCAGCTGATATGTAATCAGACAAAAGAATTAAAATGCTGCTGGTTTAAATATTACCATAACCTAGGTGACCAATGTTCAAAGGAATGTTCGGACTTCTGTAATCTTCTTAGACCATTAGATATGATTGCAGTTTAACAGCAAAAATAATTCATTGGTCGGTTGATCAAACATTGAATAAACAGAATTTGTTTGCTTTGAGAACAATCATAAAGGCTAATACTTACATCTTATCTAAATACTCTAAACCTTAAGTGCTTCTACGCATCTGTTATTTCAACGACATGTATAACTTTCTGCATTCATCCAGATATGTGATTTCTGAAGTACCAAACACACCCTGAACATTACTAATCAAAGTAAGAAATGGATCCTACTAGGAACCGTAAATATGTCGATTTAAATCGACAATAAAGTAGAAATGAACAGCTGAGAATAATCAAGGAACACAGTATAAGAAGTAAAGATGTAATCCAGATTAATTAACCATTCCAGCTTATATGTTAGTCAAAATTTTGTATAGTTCAATAAAGCAATGCGAGATTACAAGTATCAAACACCATTTGGCTCTAATGCTTCAATGGATAGCACTTTAGCTGGTCCTAGATGGAAGGAAACAAGCATCCTTGATTTCATTCCTAATCATGAAGTAGACTGATTCGAAATACCTTAACTACTCTTCATATCTACCTTAGCAAAATTCTATCTTTCAACCTCGACGATAATGTCCTGCTGACAAAATGCAGAATCTTTTGAACGTGTCAAGCACCTGTCGAATGTAAGATCATGCTCCAGGACTGGTCTGGAACTACTTCTAGCCTAATGATAGGGATTTCACTTTTTTGAACAGTTGCATCACCTCCAAATCTCATCTTGAATACTGAAGGCTGACTTGGTATCCAACTATCTATGAAAGATCGAGTATACTGCAGTGCAATCCATTCTGTCCTGTTATACCAATGTGAGATATGAGCCTATTTCAGGGTTTCGGTTACGCATATATTCTAAGTATTGTTCGTGTTTGATGGGATCACCATGTTAACAGTGTTGAGGTCAGATGATTAATGAGGTTGTGGATCTTAATCGACTGAGATGACTTGAACATGTACTGCGCATGCCAAGTCACTGCCTACTTCGATGCGGTATGCTTGCAGAAGTTAGAACATGTTGCATAAGGATTTAGGGTGGCTAGATCAAGACCTAGCATCAGTTGATGAATTCTCTTACCGTTGGCTTAAGTAGCGTGGAGAGATTAAAGAGTCAGTGGTTAAGTATTTTTGGTGAAATGGCTGAAAATCGGTGATACTGGAATAGATGCATTTACTCCTTGACATCGTCTACTACTTGAATGTTTGCACTACGAGTTACTTTCAGATGTTTTGTTCTGGTACATAACTTAGTCTTTTTCCATCCATTTGTTCTTCATGTACTACTGTAAATAGTGGAAACGTGAGCCGATGCACCTTTGTGAGAGGTTCTATGTTGATTTTGTCAATCAGTGTCAGTATGCAACGTTTTACTTCTTAGTGTCTCAACTGAACGATGAAAAAGCTTTCAACAAGCACGTGCATCTTTGGAAGGTAAGCAATTATCTAATGATACTACCTGGCTGAAGAGAGAGATTCGGACTTATAACCTAACAGTTGAAAGTCGAATGCTTAGACAAGTAAAACACAACTCCTTCCTGGTATTTACAAGAGTATGATAAGTACCCCTCTGTTATATCCTTTTAGTTGAATGAATTAATACCACCTAAATTCTCAAAAACCTCGCCTTGTTAACTAGTTCACTAGTTACTAGCCGGTTCTCAGCCCGGATAAAGAGGGGAGGTTGGATGTAGGACTAGCAACCCTACCCCGGAAAACAAACCCAACCGCTAAAGAAACTTCAAAGCTATCATGATGTCTCCAAGAACATCGGAGGCTCTCATGCAGTGGGAACCAATCTCCTCCAGGGTCATGACAGCAAGATTCAATTCAAAAGGAAGAAAAGTCACAATCATTCAATGCTACGCGCCAATAAATAATACAGATGAGGAGAAGAAGAAGGAATTCTACAAACAACTTCAATCAAAACTAGACAAGATTCCAGTTGGCAACATCAAAGTTCATTCTAATGGGTGGGTTGACATGAATGCCAAACTGGGAGCAGACAATACAGGAAGAGGAATGATCACGGGTCGAGAAGCACTCGGTGAAATGATGAATGAGAACCGAGAACTGTTTGCAGACTTCCACGCATTCAACTATTTAGTGATCGGTGGCAGTGTGTACAAACACAAGAATATTCACAAAGCAACATGGGAGACATGAATGCCAAACTAACACAAACTACAGACATTTATCAACAGCTACCTACGGTCAATAATGAAGATCAGATGGTCGGAAAGAATAAGCAACAAAGAACTCAACCAAGAAAGTGGAGATGGGTTGGACATACACTGAGAAAGACGACTGGGGATATCACGCGTCAGGCCATCCAGTAGAATGCAGAGTGAAAGCGTTCGAGTTGAGCGTCCGAGGTGAGGATCACATGGAGGAGATCATATGAAGAAGAAATAATAGCTTATGGGCGGTTGCGATACCATATCCAAAAGACTCCAAAGAACAGATTTCAATGTGTAATAATCACATTAAAAATTGAATTCAACAAACATTCATTATTAAAACGTAATAAATAGTTTCAAATTACAATTTATATAATACATAATGATAAAATCGAAATTAACACCGAAAAAAAAAAAAAGAAGAAAGAATGACATGAAAAATGAATATTCCAAATCCCCCCCCCCCCGAAAAAAAAACAAGGAAACAAAACATAAAACACAATCAATAAAGTTTTAGAAAAACAAAGAACAAATTAATCCACTCAAGTGGTGATGGAACAAAGACATCGAAAATATATATTGAAAATATTGAAAACAGTCAATAAATATACTCAAGGAGAATAGGATGAAGCTAAATAAAAGTTATCCTCAAACTGTTACTATGCTTTTCATGGAATATAGCAATTTATGCATATATTCGCTTACTTTCTGTATACTGTATATATATATATATATATATATATATATATATGTATTATAGTTCATATTAAAATTGGCGCAATAACCTTGACGGTTCAATGTGTTCAATATGTTCAATTGTTCAATGATTCACTTTTTTTTTTCATACATATTTATAAAATTTACAAAAACATCTTCTAAAGAAGATTGTCTAATTGAAATATAATTAATTAAATTTAATTTATTTAATTGTTCTAATCCATTAAATAATTTCCATAATGGTTGTAGTTTTGAATAATTATACTCTTGTCGACTTAATAAAGGATAACGTAATTGAAAATTAGGTAAATATTGATTAATTATAGATTGTAATTTATTCATATTAGAAAATTGTATAATATTAGATGTAAATTCAATATTCACATGATAACCTAAACCATAATTAGTTTTTAATTCTAATGGACTACCTTTACAACATATTTTTCCATTAATTAATAAACCAATAGAATTACATAATAATTCACATTCTTCCATACAATGTGAACTTAATAGAATAGCACAATTTAATTGTAATGCATTTTTTATATTTTTCCATAATAAATATTTACCTTGTGGATCCATACCTGTTGATGGTTCATCTAATAGAATAATACTTGGATTACCAATAAATGCTATACACGTAGATAATTTACGCTTATTTCCACCAGATAATTTAGAAATAATTTGATCAGCATAATCTTGTAAACCAGTTAATTGAATCATTTTATTAACTATATAATTATAATTTCTTATATTATTATCATTATTATAACATTTTAAATAACTATAAAATGTTAATATTTCACGAACAGTCATAAATTCACATAATGCATCTTGTTGTGGACAATAACCAATACTTTGAAAAGCTTTTGCTTCATTCAATTCTATATCATAACCATTTAAATAAATATGTCCATCAGTAATTGTACAATTTCCAGTTAACATTGAATAAATTGTTGATTTACCAGCACCATTTACACCAAGTAAACCATAACATTCACCAGGTTGAACAGTTAAACTTAAATGTTCCACTGTTGCCTTTTTTTGACACCAATAATGTTTTACAATTGATTCAGCATTAATTGCATATGGTGTATTGAATGGTAAATATTCTGAATTCTTATTTTATTGTAAAAAATAAAAGGGAGGAGAAGAAAAAAAACAAAAAAAAAACTGGAGAGAATGAAACTATGTTCAATGTAGTTAGACAAAGTATAACTACTATTATCTGAAAGAGTTAAACATTCTAAACAATAAAACAAATATAAAAAGCAACCACATGAATTTATTCCCATCAGTTAGGTTTATACACCTGTCTACGCTCAATAATGAAGATCAGATGGCCAGAATAATAACAATAAGCAACAAAGAACTCTGACCTGTTGAAGAAGCAACGAAGCAACAACCTATCACTCAACAAATGATGACATGGAGGAGATGGTGTGCAAGGAAGAAATGAGAGCGCTTATGGGATGTCGTGGAGCCAGATTGAAAAGTTTGCAGAGAACACAGTGCAATGGATGCGTGTTTCTGAAGCCCTATGTTCTACTAAACTCTGGGAACGAACCAACCAAGAAGCTATCGCTCAACAAATATGCAGGAGGAAGGGGAGATGGATTAGCCATGCACTGAGAAGGCCGACTGAGGACATCACGCGTCAGGCCAGTTGCTCGAGTGGAATCCCCATGGGAAGCGACGAGTTGGACGTCCGAGGGTGACATGGAGGAGGTCGTGCGAGGAGGAAATGAGTGCTTCTGGGCTGTCGTGGGACCAGGTTCAAAAGATCTCAGAGAACAGAGGTCACTGGAGGCGTGCTACTGAAGCCCTATGTTCCACTAGGAACCCAAGGGACTAATAATAATAATAATAATGTTCTACTAGGAACCCAAGGGAAAAATAATTAATAGTTAGATTTATAGGGAGTTATTTATTGATCATTTCATTCATCACTTCATTTTACTGATGAAAATGAAATCAATGACTCGATATATATGCTGAGACGCATATAAAAAGAAAAAGGACGTCTAAGATACATTACATAGATTTTTTCACCTTCATGCTGATAAAGTACAAACGTAATACAATCAGATACCTGGAGTGTATTGAAAAACGAACTGTTGCATATTCATGATATTCTAAGTGAGAATGGACATCCAGATAATTTCATCAAAGCTAACATGAATTACAATGGTCCTAAACGATAGTTAACGGCAATTGAGAAGAAGCCATTGCTCCTGCGATTACAATTCAAAGGAAGCAGCTCCTAGTGACATTTTATCACAACACTTAGCTACTGCCGTAAATAAAAAGTTTCATGCAGGTTAGTTTTGTATATCTTTCAGTGTCTGACCAAGTGCCTACCTAATCTCACACTTGTCAATGTAACTGTCCCTGTGGAATAATTCCCTCAATGCGTAACATTAGGCAGATGCATCTGTTCATACGAAAGAATTTACTGGCTTCGTTGGAAAAAGAAGTAAGAATGGTGAAACATTCCAATCTAGCCCACCTAGTAGACATAGGGCATCAAAAAGATGCCAATTAGGCTTTCAATGTCTTATATCGTGTACCAGAAACAATATCATGTGTAACTCACCAGTGCCTACTTAACTACATAGCTGACACTGTCGTAAATAGACTGATGAAACTTGAACTAGGAATTCAGAAGGATGATGTTCAAATGTTATTTCTCCATTGGAGTTCAGTAAACTAAAGGCTACTCGTATCTTCTTAATTCGTTGTACTTTCGGTTACCATCGTACCCTTCATCTATCACATCATCTTAATACTAACAAATTTAAGATTAAAAATTGACTTCCTTGAAATCCCTAAGTCTCACTTCATTTCACATATGTATTTCTTCCCAGAAAGGGATACGCTGGACCGGGGAAAAGATCCTAGAAGATTTGGATTTCGCCGATGACTTGTATCAAATACTGTACAAACTCGAAGATCTACAGGCGAAAACTAACAAGTTGATAGAAGATGCGGGGCACATAAGGAGGACAGGACTTCAAGTGTACGTAGAGAAGACAAAGGTAATGATGATAACCAACAAACGCCACCAGCAGCAACAACAAGCTCCAATAACCATCTACGGGAGAAACTTAAAGGAAGTAGCTTCTTTCACCTACACCTACCTAGGCGAGGCAGTATCGTTTCAACTAAAGGCGATGGCACAGGCACAGACGAGAACGTCAAAGTAGCCAGGATCAGAAAAGCAAGACAGGCGTTCATTAACCTGAAACCAGTGTGGAGATCTTCTGCACTCAGCACTAAGCGTTATCAAAATCCGGATTTTCAACACCAATTCAGTCAACTGAGTGATTCTATGTGATGGTTCAGAGAACTGGTGCGTTACGAAAAGCATTTCCAACAAACTAAACGTATTCATCAACAACTGCTTACGCTCGTTACCGATGCTCAGATGACCACAAGGAATAAGTAACAAGGAACTCTGACCTGGTGACGAACCAACGAAACAAGAACCTATCACTCAACAAACACACAGGAGAAGGAAGTGGAGATGGATTGGATTGGGTATACACTGAGAATACCATTTGGAGACAATACGCTACAGACGAGGCACTCGAGTGGAACCCAGATGGGAAACGACGAGTTAGGCGTCCGAGTGTGACACGGAGGAGATTATGTGAGGAAGAAATGAAAGGTTATGGGCAGTGGTGGAGTCAGGTTGAAAAGATTGCAGAGAAGAGAGTGGAACAGAGACATGCTACTGATTCCCTATGTTCCACTAGGAACCTAAGGGATAAATAGATAATGATTTGCCTCCAACTTGGTTTGTTTTTGCTTTTAACAAATGTACTTTTTTACTGTAGAATCTGGTGAGAATTTAATGAAATGAGTATTTTTGTTGTTGTTGTTGTTGTAGGAATCTTGAAATATTTGTAATCTTACAACTGAACAGATCAATTATGAATTATTCACTGACAGATAAACAATGTGAAGTATACTCTTTACTTTAAAATAGTATATTATTTGTAATTTCTAACAAGAAAGTTGAACGAAAACATTGTAGACAAATATATTGAGCCTACAAAGTTAATGAGTAGTTCCTCAGGATGATTTGGATAAATTACCTTTCAAGTGGGTTATCAACACAATTCCGAACGATTATGTCTTGTTATTATATCGAAATACATGGAACTTCAGAGGTTTTGAGTCAATGTTCACATAAAATGAAAAAGGTGGAGGTGATAATATCACCATAGGATGCAGTATTACTGTATAACTACTCGATTTGTTATCCCTCATTTCTACACATCAAACAATAATCCATGAGAATAAAGGAAACAGAAATAAGAAAGAAATAACGTCATCAAAAGTGATAGGAAATAGTGAGAACAGAGGAAACGTACAAGAATCACATATGATCCCCTCCAACTGATCATAATCATTGATTGTCTCAATCATCAAGAAGAGAGAAATCCTCCTCTGCCAACTACATGAGAAATCAGTATGATAGGCATAGTATCTAAGATTCTAACTTCTGTAATTATTTGTTGTAGAATTAGAGCTCAGTAAAAACAATACCAAGAAAGTCATGCAGGTTTCATACCTAATCTTCTTTGAATCGATGATAAATTCATCCTTACTCAGTTTCTAGAATGCAGCCACACCTACCGATGCCCAATACAATCTGTATTTCTTAGCTTGAAATTGGCATTCAACTCCATTAATCAAAAGATCTCATGGTAATGTCTCTCACTGAAAGAGATACCGAGTAAATACACCACACTGTGTTGAAATCTTTTTACTCGAACACCCGTAAGCGTGTTACAGCCTTTAGTAGGTTACCGTGTGAGTTCCATTCGATAAGTAATGTGTGCCATGAGTGTTCACTTTGTTCATTTCCAATTAATTTTATCATAGAAGACTTTATGAAGGTCTCCCTTTTGTTGTCCAACTTTACAGGGACTGATCTTATCACAAGATAATCCTCAGTAGATCTAGAGTACATAGACTACACAGTCCTATTTGGTGAAGTCGCTGATACGATCAAGAGTTTACTGCACAACTTTAGTGACAATTCAAAAGTGTTTGGAGAGCGTTTCATCCCAACACAGGACTCCTCAGTGGTACACACCCACGACTCAGCTACGGATTGAACTTTCGACACTCAGGTTTCATGACTACTCAACCACTGAGTTGGGTGGTAGTTCAGTGCTTCACATTTTCCTACTCCTTTCAATTGGCGACACAGCACGACTGCTACCCAATGTCCTCAGTTGGTATCCGCCTCCCTTCCGATTGGTTCACCTTACGGGTAATGGCTTCTCATTGCAACTTCGGGATATCCATCTGGAAGCATGTCACCAATGAGCGCTATACTATAGTTTAGATTGAGGTGAATGGGGATTTTAATCTTGAGGTAGTATTCATCACGGACTGACATCATTAGGAGAAACATTGAAAACCTGGGAGCATTGGAGAGCTGTTTCCTCCTAGTATGGCCTCGAGATGAATACCTTTAAGTTCTAATGAGAAGCCGTGACTTCTGGGGTCAACTAGTCGGAAGTAAAGTGGATGCTAACTGAAGACCTTGCATAACAGTCGTGCCATATTGTGGGTTGATAGGAGTAAATGACGCTCTCTTTCACTTAATTCGGACCAATATGAAATAGGGGTGGAGACACCTGGTTTAATTATGTATCGCTGATTTCCATGACCCTTAATAATTAAAGTGAGGTTAAGACCAGTCCAATGGTTGGAACTCTTAGCTCAGTTGGTAGAGCACCGAGTTCGGCAAGCCAGAGGCTATTGGTTCAAATCCAGTAAACCAAACTTATAAGTGTCTACCAGTACAAACAATTTCACCACACTAAGATAAAATTACTTACTCACTTCAACTATTCCACTGAAATAGCAATGAGATATCAAATGTTTTTACAAAACAAAACTAAAATGTACGATGAACGCCTGAAATCAGAGATAGTAATTCTGAGAGATGATAGTTTCAAGACAGAAATTAGTGGTCTGTATAGATAGGAAGTAAGCCAAATCGACATTATATGATCGAAACATACTTGGCAACCGTATATATGTTTATGCAATAGGTAATAAGCTACATCTGCCTGCTAACACCGTAACAGATGGAC